TATACCTGAGACCCTGAGAAATACTTTCCTGTCCATCACCCCCACCCACCATGGAGCGCACATGGGAGGCACTAGCACATGGGCAAGCAATATGTGAGTAACATTGAGGGGCCGAACAGGACACCAACAACTGAAATGGCTAACAACTCCACAATGCCCACTTGACCCGATGTCTAACTAGGAGAAGCAACCCAGACAAGCCGATTGGTTCAGGTAAGTCGCACTGAACCTCCTAGTTTAACACCGCCCCACTCACCAAAGAAGCGTGTTACCGCCCTAAGGGCCGCAATCACTGGGTAAGTTCGACTCCCAGATGACGCAACATAAGGGCGTGCACGGGTCTCCATACCCGGTCCACATGTGGGGGACGTATTCAGCCTGTACACCGCCACAACAGGCTGCAGAGGGGAGCAGGAGCTACCCCATCAGAGGGGAGCAGGAGCTACCCCATCAGAGGGGAGCAGGAGCTACCCCATCAGAGGGGAGCAGGAGCTACCCCATCAGAGGGGAGCAGGAGCTACCCCATCAGAGGGGAGCAGGAGCTACACCATTAGAGGGGAGCAGGAGCTACCCCCTCAGAGGGGAGCAGGAGCTATCCCCTCAGAGGGGGAGCAGGAGCTACCCCATTAGAGGGGAGCAGTAGCTACCCCATTAGAGGGAAGCAGGAGCTACCCCCTCAGAGGGGATCAGGAGCTACCCCCTCAGAGGGGGGCAGGAACTACCCCTTCCGAGGGGAGCAGGAACTACCCCCTCAGAGGGGAGCGGGAACTACCCCCTCAGAGAGGAGCAGGAACTACCCTTCATTCCCGCGGGCGGCACAAAGAGTCCCGCTCCCCACGTTAAGGCACCGTCCAGAACATATCTGTTATTATTAGGCCCGAAGTTCATCAATAGCTCAATTGTGCTTTGCTCTTGTGTGTATGGAACTGTATTCCCTGGCTTTAACTCGTTGCTTCGCCGTACAGCGTGACACTGGAGTTGTCAAGACAAAGATAGAGTAATGAAGTGTTCCAGCTTCATCCAGTGGGGAGATAGTGACATGAATGTGTCGTAATATTTCTCCACATTCAGCTTCACGCGTAGCTGAATGTGGACAAAGTTATGCTAGATATTTATTAAAGATACCTACTTTTATGCTAAATACCTACCGATGCCTTTTAAGGGAACCTGAGCTCCCAAAGTCAACATCATTATTGTGCATACATTGATTGGGTTATTCATAGATTAAAAGTGTCAGAAATATCCCTCATGTTTCTGTCTTAGTTATTGTGATGTCACTAGAAGCAGCGATTTGATAAGTGCAAATGTTAATCCACGTTTATTGTTGATCATACAATGAGACACAAACAAGTTCAGTTCATTTGTTGAATCTGTTTGTTCTTCCATGGAACTCATCACCAGTAATTCTTGCATTGATACATTGCTAATGTTATACCCAGCTCATGGGTTTCATCTAAATATTTTAAACAAATTTAATGCCTATGAAACATTTTGACTTTACATAAATCCGAATTAAACCTTTGGAAATAGTTTGAGGCACACAATTGCAAATAGCAATTGAGGCACATTGCTGTCTATTATATTTGACCGGATTCGAACAAACTTAAAGCCAGATAAATGAACAAACTCAGATTAATAGTCCCTCATCTAAGTTGCTTTTTAAGACAGAATCCAAGTGACGGCTGAATGGTAATGATCATTGTGCTCATTGCAAGCCAACTCTCAGGTTGAGCAAAGTTTAAAGACGAACTAGGCTTCATTCCTTACGCTATCCTTAACTGTATTTGTCGTTGCTGTGATTACTCACGAGAGTGTTCCAACCTGAGTAATGCGTAATATATAGAGTCGTTGTACATTCTTAATGAAATATCAACACAATATTATTAGCATATCAAATATATGATTTCTCAACTTACGATCGTCATTCATGAAATGTTTCATGACACTGTCGAAGGTACAAGTATAATTATGGAGCTGTACGTTGCAGAAGTGATGGAACAAGGATACCACCATGTCCTTAGGATTCCTGGCAATATATACCACCTGCAGAAAAGTAAAAAAAAAACATCAGTAATTAGGTTGAACGTTTGGTGTGTAGGTGGGACGTTAATGGAAACAATAAAATATTGTGACTCCAGTGTGACTGGAGCTGTCAGAGAGATGAGAGCCAGTGTTGGCAGGTAATTCTTGTAGTGTTAATATATCTTCAGTTAATCTCAAATAATGGGATTAACTGCCTGAAGGACGTAAACTTACCTCTTGGGTGTTTTGTTTGTCTTGCGGTGTAATGGCCGGCTAATTCTAAAGGGTAAATATGGCAATAAAAATATATTAAAGAAATAACCACCGACCGAATACAATGTCTCTTGATGTGTGAAGCTAGCACCAACGTCTGGAAGCCGTGAGAAGATGGATGACCCAAAAATAAAGCGATGCTAATTTGCTCGCCTCCACAGGGATCTGCTCCAGTTGTTGTTTGTGTGAGACTCGGTGAGCAAGTGATGCTCCCGCCTCCCCCTCTCTCGGTGAAAGCCCAGGAAATAAGTCACGTTATTCAATCTTATCCTATTCTCTAACAAGACGGTATCGGCGTCGTTTTACGACCTAATAACTCACTTCAAATACCAGTGGACAGTTTTCCACTATTCATATTACTGGATCGAAGAGTTTGTAGGTTAAAGCATATATACAGAGGTTGGTATATGTGTCGTGACTTTTATACCAACCAGGAATTGGCTGGTCACGTATGTGAAGAATTCACCTTGAGATGGAGTTATAATTTGTTCTAGGTAAATTAAATAAATTTCCAATCTAAAATTATAATGCAAATAAAGCAGAGTTTAGGCTGGGTTTAATTAGATTCAAATAAAGACTTCGTCCCCATGTGAGGAGGGGCGGCTGACACAACAGCAACATTCCTACACTAGGAATTAATAGTATTAGTATATTTGATTTTCTATCACAATACTTCTATCTTACTGTGCTAGGGGTTAGTATTTGGGGTGTTGGAAATTACCGACAGCATGCACTCAGTAAACGTTTCCACATTATGAAACGCTTTAATGACGACATATGATCGTTTTCTCAGATTTTAATTTATGCTGTATAAACATTATTTATAAATATTATTCGAGAGCTTAAAAAGCTACATAATAAAACTAGATTACAAAAAGTGAGTCTGTAACATAATAATGAAACTATTTTTAAATGTTATGCTTTAGAACAAACTTATTATGACGTTAATGCTAATTATTTAATGATTGAAATAATTAAATAACAATCTTCATTGAATTAAGAAGAGAGAGAGAGAGAGTGTGTGTATTCACCTAGTTGTATTCCCATAGTTGTGCTTGCAGGGGTTGAGCTCTGCTCTTTCCGCCTGCCTCTCAACTGTCAATCAACTGTTTTCTACTACTATTTATTTTTTCCACACCACATACACACACACCAGGAAGCAGCCCATAATGTGGGAACCGACCTGTGAGATTTATATTTATTTAATTTATATGGAATTTATATTTACGTTAATTTATATATTTCGATAGCAATTGGTATGATGTTAAGTGGACTGTATTTCTGCAATAACTTCACAAATCGATCCTTACACATTAGGGGGGGTTTATATTAAATTTATATATATGCAGCCAATCAAACTACAGTATTAAACTACATATATTAGTAAATAAATTGGAGGTGCCTTATCTTATTGTACAGCAGGCTTAGTCCACCAGATATAACTAGGATGTAGACACCAAATTATCCTCTCGTGTGAGGCTAGCTTCCATCACGCTTAGTAACTGATATACCAAGTCTTGCTTCCTCTTCTTGTTCCTGTCAAAGGGCACTAGCTATAAAGCCGGAATTCTAATATATGACAGCTATATCAGAGAAAACACTGTATATTAAATAATAAGGACCAAGGCTTAATTACCTTTATTAAGAGGCTGGTTCGCATTCTAACTGGTTCACCCATATCTACCTAACATTAACTGGCCAGAAATGATTAGATAAACGGGTTTCGGTAGGACACTTCCCTTGTTTATGTTGACAGTGTGTTGATGATGGTAGAACACTTTGATGTCCATAACACTTCATCCAAGAGAAATTATAGGAGCTGAATTTCCTCCCCTGTGCCTCTGGTCTTAACAAACAATGACTGACCTCTTCCCCACCACTGACGCCTTGGCTATCCTTGTCCAATGTCAATAAGTGATAGAAAGGTCACATTTACTGTATTTTGATACTGATAATTAAGTTAATTAAAATAAGATGTTTTTATGATATAAAAAGTCCAAAGACTAATGTATTTATGAATAATTCCCAACAGAATAGCTGGTGAATTTATAGTACTATGTGGCAATGATATCCCATTTTCTATTGACGGAAAATTCCACTACAAGCTACATTTTCTATGGGTAACTTGTGTATACAACAGCAGCAATATTATCTGCCTGTTGAATTGATATTATTCAATAGTGTCAGGTTTTCCGACACGTGCCAGCTGACTAACTCCCAGGTACCTATTTACTGTTAGGTAACAGGG